GGGGGGGTGTTGAACCAGCATCTCTGTAACTGTTCCTAACTAAGAGGAGAGGTGCTGTATTTTAAGGAAGTGCTAATTTACATCTATGCTTATTCAGTGTGCTGTATTACATGCTCATTAAATATGTTCAAACATTACAGAGACGTGTAATGAGGAGCCCACCTGAGCCTAAAGATCTGTAGGAACGGATTCTGTTTGAGTGTGAGCAGGTACATCGAATCAGCTCTGCGCTATATCAACTGGAAGTTCATGTTGGGCTGCACTGGGATCCTCCGTTTCCTTTCCTCCCAAAGTGCCACTCTGTTTTGGCTTCTATCGTTTTCCATATATCAGTTTAGCAAATGAACATTGACACACATTAGTATAATCAGGGGCAACTTTTTCTTGTAATGCGATCTTTAAGGAGAGACCAGGAGCGGGGCAGCCTCACGCTTGTGCTGCTCATCCCACAGCTCTCCGCCTCTAAATTATTCATCATCCAATCAATCATCTTCTCTTTGTTTTGGACCCCAGTGCAGGAGATGAAACGGCAGACTGCCAGAGCTGTTTTTCTTCATCTGAGGTCTGGAAAACATGATCTACTCAGATTACACTCACCCCCAAAACACACACCTCCTGTACCCACGTGCTTTCAGGAAATACACACACACACGCACACACACACACACAGACAGGCAAACAGACACCCTTGAGTCTTGCATCTCTATAAATACTTATGGTGTATGTGTACCTATAGTGTATTTCATATACACCAAACACTACTTCCATTGCAGTCAATCACATACTCAAGGGTTTTTATATTATTATTATTATTTATGTATATATTTATTTTTTGTAGTTCTTTTTATGTATTCATGTATTTCAGGCTTTCCTGAAATCAAAAACTTCACCTGAAACTGATTTTATTTTATTTGCAGCTCTTAATTTTGTTTCCTTGCAGTTTTGTTAATCGTATTTAAAATATTTTAATGTTATTTTTATTCATTTTGACATTTAATTACATTTGATTAATTTATCTTTTTTTAGGGCTTTTGAGGTCTTTTTGAGATACAAATTTAGAGAGATGTCATGAGGAGGAGACATAAAATAGATTAGGAAAATAGATGAGAAAACATCACAGGCCTGGCTCGATCCTGCGTCACCCATGTGAGTACCAGAGCTACAACCTTTCAGAAGCATGCATGTTTTACCTGACATATTGTCTTTCCGAACATTGAAACTGCAAATTGACCGTCTTTAAATAAATGTTAAAAATCATAATTAAGTGTTAGGTTACAATAGGTTGTGCTGTATAGTGACTGGAATTCTACTTTATTATATTATGTATGTATTGTTTATCTGAGACTCCTTAATCTGATTCGGATTCCCACAAAAATGGGAATTAAAAAAATGATATTGAATTTCTGACCAGCTGCCTGTTTATTAGCTGTAATGGTAATGTGTTCTACCGTGTTCTTGTTCTTCGCTGCCCTTTTAGCAGCTCTGCGGTAAACATGGCATTTTCAAACACTCTCAGCAGCGGCTGGGTGAACACAAGTGCGCTTTTGTTTATTAGTTGTGTACCAGCTTGCGTCTCCATCCCTGCGTTACATCCCCAGCCTCTTTTCTCGCCTTTCCACGCAGAGCTTTGACAGACATGTCACCACGCGGCATAATAAAAGCAGCTAGGCTTTATGATCTATCAGCTGTAACACAGAGGCCCGCTTAGCACGTCCAAAAGGGGCCCGTCTGCGTCTTTAAGCCTGTGTGGGAGTGGAGCACTAATAGGGGGAAATGTCTTGGACAACTGATTTGAAGATATTCGCTCAGAGCTCGGCAGGTGACGCGGTGTCTCCCCTTTTTGATGTGGCACAACACAGAGTCGTGTCAACTGATAGCTTCAAAACGCACAAGAGTGAGACCTTATTCAGCCTCCTGCTAGTGCGACATCAGAGGAGCTGACATCTATTATGGTACGGAAAGACAAGTGTTTGAAACCAAATTCAAGTGTGCATGGAAGTGTCAGGATTTACTACAGGCCCCGGCATCTTTTTTTTTTTCTTTCTCGTTTTCTCTTTCTCTCCCCCGCACACACACCCTCCTCCTGCAATCCCTTTTTTATTTTCTTTAATAAGGTGGTTTAAACCAAGCATGTCTATATGAACTCTGCAGGAGTAAGCATGAAAGGGTGCTGCCAGCCCATGATGAAAATATTTTAGTCGAAAAGCCCGGTCAGTTCCTACTGGGAGGGGAAATGGAAGAACAGCAGACTCTTTCATGATGCTTTTGGTGGAAACAAGTTTATTTTCATATAGTGAGAAATCTTAAAATTATAAATTTTAATAAGAAACAGTTATTTTTAAATGTATTATTTTAGATGTTTATCTTTGACGAGTAATTATTAATAAAATATAACTATTTTATAGTATTGTTATTGAGGAGAGTTCTAGTATTGAGTATCTCAATATGTTGAGATATTGTTAATCTTGGTAGCACAAATTAGCTGTCAAAGTTTCATTCTTGAAGTGCTCGTTCACACAAAAATGAAAATGCTGTCATTGTTTACTCACCCTCCACTTGTTCCAAACCTGTAGGAGTTTCTTTCTTCTGCTAAACGCAAATATTTTATTTTGAAGAGTGTTGGTAGCCAAACAGCTGACGGTAGCCATTGACTTCCATAGTATTTTTTTCTGCACTGTGGAAGTCAATGGCTACCGTCAACTGTTTGGCTACCAGCATTCTTCAGAATATCTTCTTTTGTCTTCAACAGCTGAAAGAAATTCATATAGGTTTGAAACAACTTGAGGGTGAGTAAATGCTGAAAGAATTTTTTTTCTGGGTAAACTATAAGGGATAACATTAATACAAGCACTGCTAGAACGATTTGGAACCTTTCTACTAACCATTTTAACCCCTTTTAAGCTGTTAACCAACTGTGATCACCAGATATTCACCCAGCAAACCCCAAACACACGTGTATAGACACTTCAGTTGAGGAATGGACTTCGAGGTGAAATATTGCACGAGGGAATCGTAGCGAGTGAGCCGGATGTCTGGAGGCAGATAAATAGCATCGGCTGGCAGTTAGGACACATCAGCCGTAAACAGTACCGGCAGCCATAAAAAGACGAACAGCTTTATTTCCCCAGCCCTTGCAGACACATCAGTGAGACGGACACAGTGCTCAGAGTAAATAAAACAAGCTGCCTGGCGGGGAGGTTAGACTGGGAGCTAAAACATCGCTCCGGGTCCCATAATAATGCCCTGTAGGGCTCACGTCAAGACTCTCCAGTGGGACTGAGCAAGTGCTTTCACCTCCCTGTTTGTCGCTCACCAACCTAACCCGGTATTCACACTGACACCAATACAAAACACAACATTTGCTTTCTTTTCAGTAGTGCTTGCATGGATGATAAAATTACACATTTATATTATGCATAATTTTAGTAAAATTTTTTTGAATATATACACTTTTTGATATACCCGCGTCATTGACCGCCTTTCAGTTCAATTAATTCAAGTCAATGCAGTTAGCTATAAACCAATAAAAATGAACACAGTAAATTAACTACAGTTATGCTAATTCACAAAATTTTCTAAAAATGGAAAATAATAATAATAATGAAATGTAATTATTAAACTTGGGGTCTTTAGGGGTCTTAATATTATTGATAATAATAATAATAACAATAAGACCTCACATTTAACAAATAATTACAGTTTATTATTAGTAGTATACAGTAGGTATTGGGTATTTAGTATTAATGGGCATTGAGTCTTTTGTAATATTGCCATGTATTCCAATGATTTTACCAGGTTAAGAGGGTTTTAGGCTCTGTGCTTCATGGTGCATAACTACACTATTTAACTGTGGTAAAATCACTTTAATGTTTTTGCTTATTTCTTTACTAGATGATAGTTTGTGAGCATAGTCGTTATTGTATTTAAAATATACAAATTTTAACAAAAGAACAAGATCTCAAGCTGTTCATGATTTTGATGTAGACATGTATAATAAAATAAATGAGAGTAATATAATATTCCTGTACATTTTATGGTAAACCCATTAAGCGGGCTCAAAATTGATTGAATGAACATATGAGTGTTGATTTAATATTTCTTGATGTTTATATTAATTAGGATTTAATTGTCAAAAATATTTAGCTCAGACACGCAAGTTGGACAAACGGGAACTATTAGCAGCCCTCGCATTATTCCAGTTTCATCAACCTCGTTTTAATTAACCTCTTTGAATAATTAACCAAACGTTATTATCAAATGAAGCAAATAATTGAGGTGCTGACTCAATTTGTAATTTGATGATTTTCTACCTTTTTAATTCATGTGTTTCCCACTTTGAAACCAAGGAAAAAAAATTTACAGTAACGACCTTAATGAACACGGACTGCTGAGACGAGAGGGAGCCGGAATAACACTGTCTGTAGTCAGTGAACACAGACAGACTGGTCATTCCCTTGATGAGTCTCCGTCTGTGTGTGTGTGTGTCTTTCTCTTTTGTTCTCTCTCAGGAGGAGCTGATAGGGCTCAGGGGAACTCTGGAGAATCTTTACACGGTCCAGTATGGGGAGAAGACAGGAAACGGCCTTTCATTACAGTGTAGAGGCTCACACATGTGGGAGCGATGTCAGAACGACTCTTTCCTCCAGTCTGCAGGCATCGCACCCGTCCACTGGTCTGCTAGGCAAATCCTCTCCTTTCAAACCACCTTGGGACCAGGATTACTGAGATTTTGAGAAGGTACCATTCCCCTTTGTGCCCTCGAAGTGTTGACTTCCTCTTTGTGTCCGGCTAGCTGTGCAAAGCCACATCTCGTTGCAAAGTGACTATCAGTTGGCATTTAGAGTTCTTTGGTATAGAACAGACACCATATGGCTCGCCTGACCCCGGTGTCAGTTCTTAGCTGGTTGTAACACAGGTGCTCTTTCCCCTCCTGCTCACGTTCTGTAGGAGGGTGACGGTGGCCTTCCCCCAAGACGCTTCATCATGGGTCTCGCCGGGCTCTCGCTCTTTCAGGCGGACGTTTCACTGCCACACAAAACTGAATGCTTCACTGCTTCTTCAATCATTCTTGTGACAGTTAGCAGCAAATGGTGGCTAATGATTTTCTGTCATGTTCGGTGCGCTGCGTAACCGCGTATTAGATATCGGCGACGGATGGACACATCAACTACTAAAATGGCTCCATTCCCAGGGCCATCAAAAGACACAGCTGTCCCAAAGTGGATGAAATATTCTGCCACTAGTACCTGCATGCGTACGGTTTGATTTTTATTAGTCACTTGCTCGGTGATCTTTTTTTTTTTTTTTTAAAGCATGAGCGAAGAGTCTTTTTAAACTTTGAAAGCTTTTTTATATTTATGTAAAGTGGACTCCCTGGTGGAAAACTAAGTTAAACTAAGTTTATTAGTCCCTTGCTCCGGGTTTTTTTTTTTTTTTTTTTAAAGCATGAGCGAAGAGTCTTTTTAAACTTTGAAAGCTTTTTTATATTTATGTAAAGTGGACTCCCTGGTGGAAAACTAAGTTAAACTAAGTTTAGGTGGTCAAACTGTGTCTTGGAACATGGTTAAAGTCAGAAATGACATTTGCAACCCATTTTACTTCCATAATGTGTCATATTTCAGAGTAAAACAGAATATTCGATGTGAAAAGCATTATACACCACAATGGAGCCAGACCTGAATGTGAGTTCACAATGTTTCATCTTGAAATGCCACTGGCTGCAACTTTTTAGACTTTTTGTCTGGGATGTGGAAGCTGAAGGTAAAGTTCACCCTCAAGAGCATCACAACAATGATTCTTCTAATACATTTTTTTTTTATTTGCTCTGCTGCATTAACTATCGGCAAGAAATTCTGCATTTCATATAACAGTAGCCAAAAACAATAACTATTTGACTATTTGTTAACTTTATTTTTTCCCTTTATTTTTTGCAGCCTTAGTTGCATCTGCAAGAAAGGAAGACAGACAGACAGACATAGCCAGACATCATTTTCTTCGTACACTGATGAATTGGACAGACCAGGAGCATGTGTTCATAAAGTAAGCTTTTCTTTTGTCATCTTTACTAACCAGCACTAACCAGATTGACAATTTCCAATGTGAATGGAATTTCATACCGGAAC